CCTAATTCTCCTTTTCTAAAAGGTGGAGATGGGCTACGTCCGGCTCAGAACACCTGGGTTCTGGCCTGGCAGCAAAGCCAGGACTGTGGGGCGACCTTGGACACGGTCACCTCCCCTTTCTGTGCCTCTGAATCCAGACCTGGCCGAGGTGTAGCTGTGAGGTCTGTGGAGGAAAAGCATTCGTGATTCTCCCAGTAGTGAGAAAGATGGCAGCTTGGGAAGGATATGGGCACTCCCAGCCCTCACCCAGTGCCTTGTGCTTGGAAAGCTTCTTCCCTGCAGAGTAGATCCCCTCCTGTAGCTGGATTCCCAGACTGGATCCAATGTAGCATTTTATTGCGGGTTTGCATTGAGATGGAGGGTCCGGCTGCCCTGTCCTTCCCCTCTCTCCCTGGGCAAGGGGAGGCTTGTCTCCATGTCACCCGGCTTGTGCACTGAGCGTTGCATCGTCCTTTATATCTGCATGTGGTGGTCTTGTCCTGTTGTCCTGGCAGCTCCCTTCCTCTCTCAGCAGACTGTGCAGTGCTTAAACCCTCTTCATTTTACATGAGTTTGGTGCCCTGCTTCTTTGTTAGTCCCAGGCACGGTCTCCATAGGGCTGAAGTCACCTTGGTGAGCCCTGGATGCCAAGAGTTTCTCTTCTCATTGGCAGTCAGGAAGGATGGCTTGGTGGTAAAAACAATCCGCCTCAAACTTAGACTGGGGGCTAAATTCCCTTCCCTGCCACTGATGTCCTGTGTGACCTTGGGCAAGTCATATACCCTTCCTCCATGAGAGCCATGGAGGTGGCAGGGTCTATCAGCTTGCTTGTAACATACGATTGCACTAACACTAGTGCTATTGGTATGAAACGAGTGAATCCCCAAGGGCCAGCTCAGTACCTGTCTGGCTTAGAGGTAGTGAGGGGTCTGCACGACAGCAGCAGACAGGCTTGTGGGGGGCCAAGTTCAGGTCTAAACACTGACTTCCCCATTGCAGTGACGGCCTCTGACAAAGGGCTGGGAGATCAGGGCTGCTGATGCTGGGGTGTGTCGAGTAGCCCACGGGTGGGAGAAGAGGTAGGAGGGAGAGGGGCTGTCAGGCCCCGTCCCTCACAGGGACCCTCCCGGCTCTGATGCCTCCCTCCTTCCTCTGTGTTCGCAGGAGAAATCTTTTTGGAGACGGCCCCAGACAAATTCACGTGGCAAGAGGCCGAGGCTCACTGTCAGGCGCTGGGAGCAGAGATAGCAACCACGGGTCAGCTGTATGCGGCCTGGACCCAGGGGCTAGACCACTGCAGCCCCGGCTGGCTGGCCGATGGCAGCGTCCGCTACCCCATCATCACCCCACGGGAGCGGTGCGGAGGGAGCGTGCCGGGAGTCAAAACCATCTTCCTCTTCCGGAATCAGACGGGATTCCCCGATGCCCAGAGCAGATACGATGTGTTCTGCTTTAGAGGTAAAGCAGCCGTCGCCGGCAGCCGCTACAGATTGGGCCGCGGCTGTGCACGGGGAGGGGTGGCATTCACCCCCAGGCCCTGCCGGAGCATCAGTGGACCCTGGGCTTGGTGCTGCTCCACTGCCCAGGGGAGAATTTCACCCAGCATAGGGCTGTCCGGCAGGGTCAAGAGAGAGATGGTCTGTGTCTGTTGCCTAATGACTGATGTCTCTGGACGAGGGCTCGCGATGCTCCTGCGCGCTTTGCTGGAAGCATTGAGATGGCAGGATGTAGCAAGTCTGGTTTCTTCCTGGAGGCACTAAGTACCTAAGACAGCTGGTAGATGGGTGCTGCTGCATGGTAGGACTGTGACCCCTCCTGTGACTTCTTGGGGCTTGGGCAGTGTCAGGGAAAGCCTGGTGCATGAGTTCGGTGGCTGTCAGGATTGGGTGCAGCGTGATAGCTGGTCATTTGGGTTAGGTTGTGTCTGGATCCCAGGGGTGGTGTTGCAGTGGTGGTAGATAGCTTTGGTTCGTGCCTCTTTGCTGAAGGAAGGGAGGCAAATTTAGCTCCATCAGAAGGAATCCACATTGCTCTTCCGGGTGTCTGTGGCTCTGATATTAGCCTGACTCCCTCCAGACAGGACCCTGCATGCCTCTGTCTCCTGTAAAGCCCCAACACCTCCTCTCCCAGCTTCTGCATGGGCCCACTCCCTCCTGGCCCCCAGCCCCTTGGCCTGGGTCTCCCCTTACCCACCATCCCACTCTTCTGTCTCGCTTGACTAAATGGGGCACTTCTGTTCTGCGACAGGTTCAGTAATTACTTGGAGCCGCTATTCCCAGCTCTTGGATCCCGACCAAATTGTGCACTTCCAAGGGGCTTCTGGGGCTGCTATATTTAGTTCTTGAGAATTTATTTTTAAGAATGAAGTTCTCTGTCTATATCCATAGGCAAAGAAAAAAAAAAAAGATCTGTGCCTGGCAATTGTATTCAGGTTAACAGGGCTCTTGGCTGGGGAGGGAGAAAGATCTGTGAGTAGCAACAGCAATGCCTGATATATTGATTCATGGGGACATAGATAAATATATTTATATATGGTGGTACTATATAAGATCATTTCTGTGTAGCAGTCATGATTGATTGATACATTCAGTTTATCAGGGTTTTGTCTGCTAGATGGAAAGATGGATAGATCCTATCTTCTTTCTATCTTCCCAGTGCTCACACAGATTAATAGGGTTCTTACTAGTATACTGTACTTAAAGATCTATATGTGGCAATAAAAGCTGATATATGCAGGTTGATAAAGGTCCATCTGCCTAGGCCACTGGACGTGTGGGGAGATGGTCAGAAGGTGCCTCCAAGGTTAAAACAGAAGCTGAGCTATGGAGGCTTCTGGGCTTTATTCCTGGTTCATTTACCCCGTAAATGAGGTTCAGTTGTTCTCCTCTGGGCCTCAGTTTCTCTATGGTTAAAGCAGATGAGGCCATACTGTCCCATCAAGGACAGGGCTTGGTGCATTCATATCGCTCAAGCGCTCTGAGATTCTTGGCAAGAGGCTGCAAGGGTTATGAAGAGGTCCATGATACCAGCAAAGAGATGCTTGTTTAGGCAACCAGACCAGGAAGCTAAAGGGAAGACACACGGGTTACCAAACCAAGGTGTGTTAGCTGTAACCCCTACCAGCCTTGTTCTCCTGTCTTCCCATAGATTTTTTTGGCCACCCCCTGCCTTATATCCCAGCCTGCTTCTAAAACAAAATAGCAGGGAAGAAGCACCTGAGCTCATTTCTCCTGCCTGAGATGCTCGAATGCTTTCCACTGGTTTCAGTAATGGTGCTGTAGGCACAGTAGAGTGGTGCTCTGGGTGAAGATGCTCCCAGTTTTACAAGCTGTATTTAGGGCCAGCTTTTACCCAGGGAAGCTGCATTATTTTTATCACTTTGGCAGCACCTAGGATGTGACCCAAGTGCAGTGGAGTCATTTTATCTGGAGTTTAATCCATGGCAAAGAGTGGACGCACAACCCCGTTCCCCCAAGCTGGCTGTCTGCAGCTGAGGGGAAGGGGACCTGCCTTGCCTTGGGTTACCCTGGGATAAAACTGAGCAAGGGACACTCAGTGTGTGTCATTGGGTGTTATTGATATGTTGGTGTTGAAGTCTCAGGAGCTGCGGTGTTTGAAGTTGTGGTCAGGAGATTCCAGCATCAATCTGATTAAAGACTGACCACAGGCTCAGTTCGGTGGCAAAGGTTTATTGTCTACAAGCCCAGCCCTGCCATGTCCTGACCTAGTAAGTACATCAGTCCATGAGTTAAGGCATTTGTATGTGTGACAAGATAGTTGGCACAACACCACACAGGCTCCCCAAGGCCACTACAAAATTCCCTGGATTTCCAAGTCTCCTTTCATACAATGATCTTGAATATTTCAATCCATCCTTTACCACGGGCTTGTTTTACATTCTGACCTGGGTGTTCCCATTCTCACCTTCGCATCCTGGTCCTGGACTATCCTACACCTTGTACAGCCATCCCCCCCCTCCCATCTCCTGGCAGGGGAGGCCATCTGACCCACAAGCCAAATTTTGCAGACATAAGGAGTTCATGCATCACTCCGTTTTGCTGGTCAGGCCTACTCTTACCAGTGCTTGTGTTTGCAGCATATAATGATCAAAGTTCCAGCGAGACCAACAGTATGTTCTAGGTGTGTCTACACATGCATTTACTCTGGCTTAAATTTACTGCACAGTAAATGGGAAATAGGCTGGTGTCTACACATGGGGGCATTAAAGCGCATTAATGCTGTATTAACATTAGTCCCAAGTCAGTCTACACCCACAGTGTTACTGCTCAGTAAGGCGTCTGCACATGTGTTACTGTGCAGTAACTAATTGGGCATAAATTTGATACCTGCATCATCAAGTTGGCATAAGTCACCATATTTACTGTGCAGTATGGGTGTGCATGTAGAGATGTGTGCATGTACTGCACAGTAATTTGGGTTACTGCACAGTAAATGCACATGCGTCCTCTAAGTAGTTATTTTCCCCCATGTAGTGAAGTTACTCCGTCTCTCCAGGGGGAGCTTTACCCCGTGTTTGAGTGATCTGCTACACATGCTTGTGTCTGGGTCATTCCCCTCGGCCTGCTGTAGTACAGATACAAGTTCTTTCTCCAAGCGGCTGCATAGGTTCATAGAGAAGCAGGCTGGAAGGGACCTCCAGAGGCTGAATGGGAGATGGAGCATGGGAACAAGCCTGCAATGGAATTGGATTTAACCACTAAGCTGTGCTTCCCCCTCAGCTGTCACTTGCCAACTGCTGTCAGTGCTGTTCCCACTGGATGCCCCCATTGTCCTTTGCTGTGTCACTTAACATGGATGGCAAGACTCTCTTCTCACTGACGGCATGTACTATAGCTGGAGTGTGGAGCTGTCCTCAGGGGGCGACCAGCCTGGTCTAGATTTTGCAGCATCTTTTGCAACTGGGGCCAAGCACTGCAGTGAGGTCCCCCTCGGGAACAAGAGAATTTCCCATGCCTTGACCTGGGTTATTAGAGCCAGGAAGAAAGAAAATGCTGGTCTGGGATGGTTTAGAAAGGGCTGATGCTGCTTGGAGCATGGGCTTGGACTAGACATCCCTGCCAGCCTTGACTTTCCTGTGATTCTAGGATGGGGCTTACCGGACTCAATGGGTTTTCTCCTGATCCAGTCTGAACTGCACCAGAACCGTGTGTGTGTGTGTGAGAGAGAGAGAGAGAGAGAGAGAGAGAGAGAAGACAGTGGTCCTGAATGAAAGAGAAGTCGCAGGCTGGTGCTAATTCACAATTCCCCTCCAAATATATATCCCAGCCAGAGCCCTGTTGGGCGCAGACACATTTTGCACTGTGGGAGACAGCAAGCTGGAGACATTTCCAGGGTCAACTGGCCCTAATCCATTGGAATCGATGGTCTGCGTCCCTCACTGGAGCGAGTCAGTCTGCTCCAGTGGCCCAGATCACCGACAGGCACAATTTTGGCACTTGTCTCCAGCCACGAGTGCGCAGAAATCCTGGTGAGGGCTCAGGAGAGCCTGAGGGCTCCCTGATGCCACAGGTGGGGTGCAACTCCTTGAGCCCCAAACCTGGCTTGGGAAATGGTCCTGGAAAAAGTGTTTTTGCTGTAAATGTCCCAAGCTGCTCCTGTCTCAAGCTGTTTCCCCCGGGATGCCTGGGACTTGCCCCTATGGGAGACATTAGCCAATTACTGGTCATCTAGTGGGGGTGTTGCTGTCGTTGCAATGGTCCTGAAAAAGTGCAAGAGGCAAGGATCTGTACGGGTGATACCTTTTATTGCACCAACTACATAGCTGGGAAGGACAGAGACAAGCTTTTGGGTGCCAGATACACCCTTCCTCAGTATTTGGTAACTGAAAACTTGTCTATATCCCTTCCAACTATGTAGTTCATTCAATAAAAGATATCACACACCCAAATCCTTGCTGGTTGGGAGCGATATGGACTACTGGTCCTAGTCGTGCTCTTCGATGAAATCTCAAGGCCTGATTCTCCTTTAGGATGCCATTTCCAAGCCCATTCACAGCGCCCAAGTGGCATCAAGGGACCTTGTGCGTGCACCTGGCCTCAGAGCCGGGGGTTAGGCAGTTGGGCTGGTTTGATCCCTGAGGGCACCAGGGCTGACTACAGTCTTGTGTACCCCTCCAGGGCAGCCCTGCTCTGGGAGCATCATTGGTAAGGGGTCCTCCTGCTGAGGAGCCAGGATGAGGCAGTAATATCCCACTTTCTTTCTGCCCACAGAAGAGCCCAGCTCTTTCACTGAGGTTCCCGAAAATCACCAAGCCAGTGAGCCCAGGGGCCTCCAGGACATTGTCACAGTGACAGAGAGGATGGAGGAGCTGCAGCTGCCCCAAGCAGAAGTGGACAATGAGTCAAGAGGGGCCATATACTCCGTCCCCTTTTTTCAGGATGCTGAGCGGGAAAAGCCAAGCAGTGCCCCCGAAGAGGCGAGCGTGCCCGTGCCCCGGCATGCCCCACTAGATAACTCCGTGTCCTCAGATCTAGGACTCCATCTGCCACCAGCCACACCTTCCCCTGAGACCCCCTTCACCTCCAAGGCAGAGCTGGGGGGCCCAATAAGCTGTGGTGCCCAGCCAGGGAGCTCTGCCTGGCCAGGGGAAAAGGGGAGAGGTGGAAATTGCACAGAGGCCAGTCAAGAGAGACCCAGGACTGGTAGGTAGAGCATCCTTGTTAGCGTGATCAGGAGGTGGTGCCTGAGTTGTGGGGTCATGGCAGTAGCTTGGAAGGCGTATGCCCAGGTGCAGTGTGTTGAAGAAACCAAAGAGGTTTAGAAAATCCCAGCCTCTCCCGTAGGAGCCATCACTGACCTTCCAGAGCTGAATTTTGCAAAGTGGAACAGACAAATGGAGATCATAGTCAGAGGGGGTAGCAGTCACCAGAGGGATCATATGTTTAGACATCTCTGATCCCCATTGGAAAATCTGCCTTGAGGAAGTAGGAGCTGATGAGAATTGCAACGTTTATTGAAGTGCCCACAGATGGGAGTCACCAAAAAGCCTGATTTGGTTTCAGTGGAAATGGACACACAACTGCTTTGCAAAGCTGCTCCCTTCTCCCATTTGCCAAAGTGACTCAGGCACTTACTTTGATCTCTTCTAAATGCACTGGAACTTGGGCTCTTAAGTGACTTGGATTTGCTATGTAGACACACCCCAGTTAGCTTGAACTGAGCTTGCTCGGGTACCAGCAGCCATCTAGCCATGACCACCCAAGGCTCACTTACCCGGGGTGGAGCATAGCATACCTGTAATGATTTAGGACTGTAACTCAGGCCTCATGCTCCTAAATCACTTTAGCCTGAAGTTCATCAGTCACTTGCATCCTTTTGAAAATGCTGCTCTGGGTTGAGTGAGCCAGAATCCAAACCCTGGATCACAGCTCAACTCTGCGCTGGCTGGAGAAAGGCTGGGTGCCATTTGGGAGGGGTTGGGAAGGGTCATTTTTTTTCATGCTTCCTCAGATCAGACGGGCTGTGGTTAGGTCTGGGAGTGCTGCTATCCCTGGGAAAAGGTTGCTCTGCAGAGATGTCACTAAGGAGTAGTCATGCCATTGGTTTGGCGGTGATGTGGGGGCTGAGACTTTTCAGGCTTGCAAAGCGTAGAGATGTCAGGACACTAGTCTGGCAGCACATGGGTGAAAAGGGACCTCTGAAAATCCATCTCTGCACAGAGGAGTGCCCAGCTGGTGGGATTTGGCATAAGAGCATTGCACCACTTCGTAGTGGGTAGACTGGGATGTTCCCGGAACACGGGTCCATTCTCTGCTTCCCAAGACCGCAGCATCCAGGCAGCTGGAGTGCGAGTTAGAGCAGCCTCAAGGCAGCTCTGGTTGGCACAGGGAGCTGGGCACAAGAGTGATTCAAGTTCTTTGCAGGGGTGGGTGGCTTTGATGCCGGCCTTGTGTCTGTAGCTCTGCAGCCCCTCCCAAGCCCCTTCACCTTCTGCAAAAAGCCTTGATGGAGAAGAGCTTTAGGAGCTCGGGGTGGCAAGACAGAGGAAGGATGTTGGCATGGTGAAAGCACCAGCTTGCCCTGCAAGAGGCTTGGGTTCTAGTGTGTCCTCTCCCACAGATGCCCTGTCACCTTGGGCACATCACTTATCCCTATTGTACAGGTGGAGGGGGAGGGTAACAGCTGCCCATGGGGGGTATAAGGACAACTGCATTTCATCTTGGCTGGTGCTCAGCTGCTCGGTGGATGGGGGTCACCTGCAGAGCTAGGAGGAAGGTAGCTTTTAACAAGCCCCTTCAGGCTAGCGCTGTCTTCAGGGGTGCATGCTTGGGTAGGAGCAGTGCAGCCTTGGCATGTTGTGTTGAAGGAGAGAACTGTTTTTTGGGGGTGGCCCAGTGATCCTTTTGCATTACAGATGCCCCAAGGGTTTGTCCCCAGACTTCTGACTGGGGACCAGAGGTATGTGTGCATGTCTGGGAGGGCTTGGTCATGGCTGAGCCTGCCTGGAGCCAGGGGGTGGGTCAGCCCGACTCGAACACGGTTTGACTTGATTGCAGCAGCAACCAGCTTGGAAGCGTCTGTGTTTCCCCTCGGCCTGGGTGGGGACATACTCTTCCAAGCCGCACTCGTCCAGCCCCGTGCTCACTGTCTCTGTCATTTGGATTGTGCAGGGGAGGAGCACGGCGCAGACCAGGGGCACCCGGGCTCCTTGTCAGAAGGGGAGACAGCCCGTGCCTCCAAAGATGATGGGACTCTGGCGCTGGACGGTGGCCTGCAGAACCCCGTCCGCCCCACCGAGGCCCCCACGGCCGGCTCGGTCACGACTGCACCCACGCTCAGCCCAGCTGCTGTCTCCCCATCCCTGAGGGATGAGAGCCAACGCAGCGGGTTACCTGGCCCTGCCCTGGCATCTCCGGCGACCTCCCAGGAGCATGGAGAGGAGGCTGCAGCAGAAGGCAGTTCCTTGGATATCACCCATGTGCCAGAAGTGAGCGGCGAGGCGGACTTCTTCCCTGGCTCCAAGCACGGAGAAGGGGACTCTCTTCCAGAGGATCACCCAACCCCTGCCTCAGAGGGGGCTGTGGGGGGAAAGTGGGATGTCTCGGAGCGGCTGGCTCCAAACACCAGTGCCGGGAGCGGCCAGGACTTGCTGGGCCTGGCGAACTCGACCATCGCTGCTTCCACGCTGCTGTGGAAGGCCAGTGAACCAGGGCAGGAGGAGCCTGCCTGGACCCATGCCACCCCCCAACAAGGCTTGGTCTCGGGGCTGACCAGCACGCACTTCCCCAGCCTGGGCGGCCCCCCGGGCGCTCCCGAAGAGACCGAGCTCTCTGGAGATGCCTCCGCGGGCACCACAGTGAGCCCGGCCACCTTGCAGTCCGTGTCCCCCAGCCTGCGGGAGCCGGGCAAGGAGCAGCGGGGCACTGTGGGGGCTCCATCGCCCGGGTCCCAGCCAGGTACCGCTGAGCCCAAGGTGACCACGGTCCCCGCTGGACACTTGGGGGCTGACCAAGGGCCACCCAGTAAGGAGCTGTCGGGGGAGAGTGACACGCAGGCAGTGGCCCGGGAGACTGTGGCAGTGCAGCCTCCATCTGCAGCATCTCCTTCTGCTACCCCAGGTGGAGAAACCAAGGGGGACGGACCCCCCACCAGCCCCGAGCACGGCCTGGTGCCTGAAGCAGCGTCCGGCTCCATGCTGGAGGGGATGCCCTTCACCGATGCCCCTTTGACCACAGCCCATCCCTTGCCCGTCCTCCCCACCGAGCGTGCCAGCCTGGGCGTGGGGGTGAACATCTCAGGTAACCCGTACAGCTGCGCTGCCTTGGTCCTCTGGGCAGCCCTTTCCCCTGGCCTCTGGCACTAAAACCAAACGCCTTTCCTTCGTGCTGTGCTTTCCTCTGTCCGTCTGTCTCTGTCTTTCTTTCTCTCTCTCCTCTTCAGGGAAGGTTCGTGTCCAGAGAAGCACATATTTGTCAAACAAATTGGGTCGAAGCCTGCATGCACTTTAAATCTTTCCTACTTCTATGAAGTGTTTTTAATGGGGAGGGGAAAAGAAAAGCTAAATCTCTAGCTACCGACTACGACTAACCAGGATACTAATAAAGAGAATTAAAAGCTTTCTAGAACAAAGCTGCCTTGGTTAGATCTCTGCTTCCCTTGTCTTTATTGGTCTGTTGCCTCTTTGTGTGTGTGTGTGTGCGTGTGTCATTTGCAATTTCCTGTGTCTCCCACTGATGAACTAATCCACCTTACTTTACTCCAAGAGCCATGCGCTGCATCAGTGGTTCTTAACCATTGTTAGACCCATAGCACATCTGGGGAGAAGCCAGCTCCATCGTCACTTGTTTTTTTAACTCCAGGGAAACAAAATAGAGAAAATCTTCTATCCTTCTTCTTTCATATGACATTTTAAGAGTACAACTCCAG